ACTGTATTTCTTTTGCTAACTAGATCAGGCTTGGCAGTGGCAAACGTTCAGTTGCCTATATGCTATACCTTAATCAATAATTTGTGTTTGCATTTGTATGTGTGTATGACATTTGTGTGCATATGTGACTGTGAGTACATGCACAAGATGGTCCATGTGTGAAGGTCAGAAGACAACCTTGAGTGTCAGTCTTTATACCATACACTCTATTGAAGACGGTCTGTTATTCACCTCTGGGTAACTCAAGCTAGCTGGCCAGTTAGTTTCTGGGACTTCTCCTCTCTCTGCCTCCCATCTCACCATATAAGCACTAGAATTACAGATTCATATTACTGAGTTGGCTTTACATGAGTTCTAGGGATCCAAACCGAGGACTTCATGCTTACGTGGCAAATGCCTTGCCCCAAGCCACCTGTCAGCCTGTTTTTTTTTTTTTTTAATCACTTCCTTAATTTCCTACTTTGAAAGATGTCAAGATCATCTCTTGTATTTCCTGTTCTAATTTGTCAGTTCTAGAATGCCCATTTCTCTAACAAATTCAAGTTCCTCTTAACAAAGGGAATACAACACCAGGATCTCTGTTCTAAGTATGCTCCTTGCCACTAAAGTATCAGTGCTTCTAAACCTCTGTTGGCTGAGCAGAGAGACAGCATTGCCACACTGATCTTTCTACCCTTGTTTTATTTATCTTTGCATTTCAGCTTCAACAGATCATTTGACCTTGTCTAGCAGAATAATTCCTAAGGGACGTGGTGCCTAGCATCAAACTTCAAACTATAGTCAGCAGAACTTTTCACATCAAGAGGCTTCCAGATTCTCGTTGTGACAAAATAAAGTAGCTCCATTACTCCCAGCTCTTCGCACCAATCTTGAACTTAACAAATATACACAGAAGACACTGTAAGCTGGAAATTACTCAGGGTCTCTGGACTTGGGGAATGACTTGCAGAGAGTTCTTCATACTTCCTTATTGCCTCCTCTATCTCCCAGAAATTGTTTTATAGAATCATCCAGTCCATAACCGTTAATGACCACAGACAAATAAAAGCTCTAAGACAAACTTATTCCTCATAGGAAAAGTATAAAGAAAGGAATTGTTAATGACCACAACCCTTTTGGCAATCCTCTTACCATTCCCACCAAATATTAAGGCAAAAATTTCCTGTCTTCTATGCCTATGACTTAAGTGACATCAACTAAGGAGTTGATTCTGTACTCCATGTCTCCCCTCTCCTACAAAAGCAGATACCACACTAAATTCCTCATCAGAGTTGCTTCGGTGCATTCTCTTAATTAATTCTCTTAATTCTGCCCTCTACCATCCAGAAGCACCCTTAAATTGATGATGCCTGATGTGACCATTTAATACTAGACACATCACACACAGTCTTGGGGTCCAATAAGAAGCTTAGCTTCTACTTCTGTTTGACATCAAAAGTAAGACATTTCAAGTTAGAAATAGTGGGCCAGCTACTTATACCTCACACAAGCAATCAGTGGAACCCAGTGGAGAAATGAGCATCTACCCGTAGCTAGACCCCCAAATGGAATGTGTGGTATGAAAAACATAGTTAACACATCATTTCTCCCTTCTCTGGTGCCAGAGTTCTATTAGGAATCTTAGTTCTTACTCCCAGTTGGAGACAGAACAACTTTATTTGTGTTCCACTTTGTTTAAAGAGGTCTGTCAGCAAAAAACCATAAGAAGAACTGAACTTCTCCTCCATGTAGACAGAGTCAAGGTGACACATTGCCTAACTCCTTTGGGTTGATATTTGTGAGATCTACTGGAGAGCTGTATGTCTCTTACTATCCAGCCCTCACACTCTTAATCAACATGTGAAAACCTCTCACTAAAAAATTGGTGTCAAGAAGGTAAAGCAGAATCCAGAGTTATATAATTCTCAAAATATTCAAAATACATTTGAAAGTCATTTGTCATACATCAACCTTGTAAATCATCAAAATGACAAAAACTTCAGTAGCATTCATACAGGACCACCAAAGGGAGCCAGGGCTGGAATTATGATGATTAGAAATAAATTATATGATAGATGTTTAGCAAGAAATGATATACTTGTTTAAATATATCAAATAAGAAAATGTAAGCAAGCAAATTAGATATTATAAAAATAAAGCCAAGTAGAATTGATGGAAATTTAAAAAATACAATAACAAAAATAAAAACACTTGTTGGACAGGCTCAAGATTAAAGTGGGTATAACACATTATTGATGGGAAGAAAGTTTGAGGACAAAACAATAGAATTTACCAAAACTGAAACTGAAAAAGCAGATCATGGGTCTTATAATCTCAGAAACCAGGGAAGCAATTTGAAAAGAGCTACCATCTGTAACATCAGAGTCCCCAAATGAAGAGAGCAGGTGAGACAGAAAAATCACTGGATGAAATAATGAGTGGCATCTATAAACTTGGCAGAGGAAATAAACTTCAAGACTCAAGTACCCAAGTAAAACCCAAATAGAACAAACACAATGATAACCACACAAATGCACATCATTATTAAAATTCTGAAGAAAATAACAAAGGGAAAAAACTCTAGAAAGCACAGAAAGGATGCCTTTCATCAATTCAAGTGTCAGCAGATCTCACATCAGGAACTACAGAGGCCAGAAGTGTTGGCATAATATTTTTGAAATATTGAAAGGCAGAAAATATCTGAGGATGGAGCTCACTTTGTAGAGTGTCTAGTATGTGCCATGACTTGGGTTCCATGAGCAGCACTTCATGTCCAAAGAAGAAGGAAGGAAAAAAAGGCAAGCAGGTGGGCAGGCAGGTAGGTGGGTGGGAGGGAGGGGGAGAGGGATCATTATCATTTATATCCAGTTTCTTGCTTGACTTTTATTAATGGACTATTGCTAATCTTTGTGTATCCAAGATTGCAACATTTTGAAAGCAATTCAGCTTCATAATTTCCAAAGTAGCCTTTGTAAAACAAACAAAAATCTTTAATCCATAGTGATTGTAATACACAAACCAACTTTTCTAACTTCATGGTTCTAGCTAAAAATCAATCAATGACTGTCCATATTCCTGAGAAATAAAATCCTTTCCATATACACATAAACTATTCATTTTTGCATTTAACCATATTCTCCGCCTTTCTTTCTCACACCTCTCTGAACAGTCTTTATGCTATACCATTTATGTATATTTCTTTTTGTGATGAGCCCAACTCTTATTTTTTCTCTTATGATTATATATTTCTCTTCTCTTGGTCATGAAAACTCATTCTTCCTTCCCATTTCATATCCATCTCCAGTATTGCCTTACACAAGAAGATCTGCTAATATTTCTTTACTTCAAATTTATAGTAAATTAATGAATTAAGGTTTTATCTGTGCCTTCTCAATGCATTCAGAAATAATTTGTACCATAATTATGGATATACATTGGGTCTTCTGATAAGCAAAATTAAAACACTGACTATAATACTGCCATATAGTTTAATATCTGGCATATATTGAGGTTTAGCAAATGTATGCTAAATAGAGTGAATTAATGCTTAACGGTTATTCATAGTGATTCTATCAAAGACACTGATAACTTCCCAAAATATTAGGGTGTTAGGATTCTGTACTTGATTCAACAGAGGAAATTTTCACAGGCACATCTGTCTTTGAATGCCTGAAAGGAAAACACTTTACTTGAGAGTGTTAAGCTATCTGGGACTGACAAGCCAACACAATTCCTGTGTGCGATGCTGTCAGTGTCACCCACATCTCCCAGCATCTTCCCTTTCAGTATTTCCCTTATATAGTCATTGACTCATAGTGCTAACTGTAGTTTTCAATTTGACGTAAGACCAGAAAGCTTGAAAGTTAATGGATCCTAATAGCTTTTAACCAATTATAGAGATGATTTGGGCTATTTACACATCAGCTTTCTCTTCCATTGGTTGGAAAACTTCTGAAGCATGTTCTACAGTCTCAGACCTCCTCTGAAGGACTAACAAATATATATAGGAATAAATGGCTCCATTCATTTATGCCTTTATCTGCCTCTTTCTAAGCCCCTATTCCCAATTTTTGGTTCTATCTTGTTTCCTTGAACTACTTCCTTTGGAAGCGGTTTGCATTTAATATCATTTCTGAGATTCAGTTCCTGGAAGAATTCAATCTAAGACAACCCCAAACTCCTCTAACCAAACAGTCCAGCAATTTTTATAAAACCATCAATGACACTAGTAAAAACAGATGGTTTAGAATACGTCATTCTTCATAGATCATTACTGTTTTCAAACAAAAACCAGCACAAACATAAGATACATAATTTTTATGGGAATGAACTTTGGGTAGCATGAAGTAGAAATAATGCCACTTGTTTTCCATTCATGAAGGTATGGAATTTATGGGCAGGTGGTCTGTAACAGCTGTCTCTTTAATTTAAGAAGACTTCTCCATTAGTCACTCTGAAAACTGTTACTATTTTGGAGTGTTGACCTCAAGACATTACTGCTTCATTTGTTTCTTTTTATTCTAATAACATTCGATTTTAATTACTGATAATTGACAGATTTATTGTGTCCCGACCACCCAATTACAAAAATCTACACACATGAACATACACACTTTTGTGTATGATAAAGCTTGAAAAGAAATTGAAGGTGTCTATGAAATACCTTTCAACATGTTCTTATATTTATGAATGATTCTATTTATTCAAAGTAGATTCCTAGAAATCTAGCATGAAAACTTATGATGGGAAATTTAGGTGAAGAAGGGAGTGAATTTTAAAGAAAAACGAAACTTAGAAAGTTCGATTCTTTTTCCTTCATTTTGTTTGGGTAATAAGACTTTAAATAACTCTTCGCTTGGCTTGAAGTCTTCAAATGTAAACTCTACTCTTGCTATAATGTATCTGCTTCAGATTTACAAATCATGGCCTTTAAAGTTAGAAGATGTGTTTGCTTAAAATGGTTAAACAGTGGACTTTGTATGTACAGCTTATTTCCCATTCATTTGCTATCTTCTTTTTAGTTTCTTAGGTCTTTAGGAAGACCTGATGTCTCCCAAAAGCAACTTCTGGTAGAAGTCTGAAGATCATCTTTAAGGAAAAAGAAAACTAAATGAATTAAGGACAAGAAGGTTTCCAATCAGGTAGGAACACTGAAAAAAAATCACACATCCAGCCATCTTAAGTGAGTAGCTCAAGAGGGTTGTTTTCAGTTCCCTTGGAGGTAGAAGTGTTTACCAGAGAATTCCTTGGAGGGAAGCAACTACAATAACAGCATGATGCTTTTTTTTCTATTTTTAGCTCATTGTTGCTATGTACACTTAGTAATCTCTGTGCCTGAGTTTCACCCCAAAAGGCTGGAAATGTAGAGCAGTAGATTAATTAATCCATTCCAGATTTTCTTCTAAGATGAATCATTTTCATAGGCTTCTCCATGACCTATGCTCATCACATTCAAGGACCATAATAGCATCAAGTTTTCAAATGAGGAGCAGTCCCACTTCATGGCATAAGAAAACTGACCAGGTTCTTATTGGGGTACATCTAGCCTTGCTTATGATGCCAAGTGGGTACACAAAGGAAACTAAGGGAAGTGAATGGGAACTATCAAAGAGGAACTGTTTACTTGTATTGATTCTAAGTCCTACTTAGAGTTTTCCCTTTCATTTGCAATTTGGGATAAAATTTTAAGGCCCCCTCTTCCACGATGGTACCTGAATCTTGGGTGGGTAAAGATGGTAAGAGCCAGGGAGAAGGTGCATGACCATATGGAAACAGAGTCCTACAAGCTTCTGGGAACCTGCTTATATGATTCTAAGGCAATGGTGTCAGCATACACAAGTCCCATGCAAACTCAAGCAGACAAAAACCCAGCATAGAACTGGGAAAATGAACAGCAGACCCCAGTCTTATCTGAAGAAATATTGGCAACTGATTGTTGCTAGGTGAAGAAGAGCTAATCTTCCTAAAACAAGGGATTATAGATAGGCTGACTAGACCTCAGTATATGGACTTGCAGTGGGGAACGTCTAGGGGCACTGATTTGACACAGTGGGCTGTAACAGGGATGACAGAGTATGTGGGCTCCAGTGAGAGGGCTATGGGAGGGTGCCAGTGGGGACAGGGGTATAAAGATGATTAAGATTAAAATCGTTTGAGATGTTCTGTATGAAATACACAAATTCAATAAAGACAAACTTAAAAAAAAACTTAGGGCAAATGAACTTTTATTTTATAATGAGATATAAAACTAACCAAAAATCAAGGCCCAGCTTTCTCATTTGCATTTTGGCATTCTCCATTTAGCACTATGCTTGACCTCCTGGCAACTCAGCACTCAGAACAAAGACAGTTGCTGAATGAAAAGTGGATGAATGAGTGAAAACATTTCATATGGCAGAAAAGCTGTGTGCCCTGATGTTGCCTTTTGTGTTGACCTCTGTAATCCACAGCACTGTAGCTGACAAAGGAAATATAAGCAGCACAATCAAGTGAATGAATGAATTCTCCTAATTCAGAGAACTGGCAAACCCAGACTCCATATTTGCTAACGTCTACTGCAGAAATAGCCATGACACAAATGCTTGGATTTCACGTGACTGGTGTAGCTGAAAACAATTTAGCTTGTTTTCAATCTGTTGTTTTCAATCTGTTGTTCTTTTATTAACATCTATCATTTTTTTATTGAGCTTTTGTAATTTCATACAATAGTTCTTAATCAAATTTAGACTCCCTCCCCCATCCAATGCCACCCCATCCCTTGACTGGACCTCATGTACTCTGCCATACATGTTAAGTCGTATCCAGTCAAGCATTTGTACCCAGATGTCCTTCAGTGTAAATCCATCCACTGGAATCTAGTCAGCCCATCTAGAGAGTGTATGTAAGGTATACTCTCCCTCACCCAGTAGCAGTCAGTCTCCAATAGTTCTCAGTCTAGGGCTGGCCTCTCATCCATTTCTCTCCTCCCCTCTGGGATTTTGTTTAATTAAGTTGACATGGGTCCTATAGCCACTATTGCCACAAGTTCACTTGTGCAAGCTTCCAGTGACCTGAAAGCCTCTGCTCCCTTGTGTTCATGAACCAGCCTTGTCTCTTACAATCTTTTTGCCCTCTCTTCCACAATTTTCCCTGAGCCATGGGTAGGTGAGATTCAATATAGGGGTCCTATCCAAGGATACACATGCTGCAGTCTCTCATTCTTTAAAACATGACCATTTGTGGCCTTCTGTGTGCATTGCACTCTGTTGTATATGGAACAACATAGAGAGAGTTGAGGGATGCATTAATTTTCTCTCTACTCCTTGTTATGCAATGTTCCATGACCCTTAGGTGTAGAGGTATAACTGGTGATGTGTCACCTAGTACCGGGCATCTCTTAGATGTATATTCTCTGTGTCTGACCAGTTGTTTGAAATTCTGCAGTAGTTTCCATCTGTTGTAAAAAGAATCTTCTTTGATGAGTCGTATATGGTATGTTTGTCTGTAAATTTAGGATGGTAAGAAATTTCATTTGTCTAGAGATTTGACAGAGATAGGTTCTTCTTTAGGATCTATGACCTCTCCAGCCATGTGTATTTGGCTGTTTCCAGTGCCATCCATGAGTCCACTCCCATTGAGAGGGCTTTAAGTCCAATTAGATAGCTGTTGATTGCCCCCCAGATAACAGTGATAACAGTGCCACTATTGCACCAATAGAGGCAGTTTGCTGTGCCAGGCATTATGGTTTCAGACTTTAGAGCCGAGTCCAGTCATTTTTTGTATTTCTTCCTTGGCAGTTTGCTTATTATCATCTAGCATTATGATAGCTAAACTTCGGGTGGAAGGCTTCCAGGATCCGTTGTTCCAAGTCGTGTACACGAAGTATGTCCTGTCTTTAGCAGTAGGACCTTAACTACTAGTTCTGGAAGATAACCAAGAGGTTTTTAAAATAATGTCACATATCATCTTTTACATTTAGGCATAGCACCTTCATTAAGTACACTAATTGACGATTGAAATGTGGATAGAATATCCTTCTGCAACCTTCTAAGCTGCATTACTTAGAAAGTGTTTTACAGTGACACATTCAAAGGTAATTTCAGAATAACTAGCTGAAGAAATTGTTCACATTTTTCTGATAGGTAGAATAGCCCTAATACTACAGCAGTAACTTTCTCTGTAAGCCATTATTGCTATCTTCTGTTGTCCTAAAGGAGAACAAAAGCTGTTTAATTAAAAATTAAATGTAAGCTGGCTGCGGAGGCGCACACCTTTAATCCCAGCACTCTGGAGGCAGAGGCAGGCGGATCTCTGTGAGTTCAAGGCCAGCCTGGTCTAAATAGTAAGTTCCAGGACAGCTGGGGCTACAGGGAGACCATGTCTCAAAAAACAATAAATAAATAGATTTCCAGATTCTGTCATTTGATAAAAGTCATTCCTACAAGAGGGAATGGGGAGCCCAGGAAGAGTTGGAGAAGGGGAGCAGAAAGGATGAAGATGATGTAAACACTGCACTATGTAGTGGAAACTTACTCACTTGATTATTTTATTCATTTGTTGGCATGTGGTTTTCAGATGTACTTGATAACAGTATGCGTGTATTGCTAGATGAGGTTTTAACTGTGCTACATTTTTTTTTAGTACAAATTTATCAATAATAGCAGATTCCTCAAATTGCCTTCCACATTCCCTCCCTCCTTTTTTTTTCATCCGGAGATATACTTTCAGATGTTTTTAAATTTTCTGAGCAATGGATAGTGTCACTTTAAATAAAGATGAAGAATTGTTCAAAAGTAGAAGGCTTCTTTATGGTAAATAAATTCCTCATATGAAAAGAATTCCATAGCTGAAATGTCTCTCCATAAAAAGGTTTATAAGTGTTTTCTTTAGAAGTGGAGATTTTATCTCCACAATTAAAGCCTAACGATAGTGCTTTCACAATATTTAATGCTTGAAAAATAAATGTATGCAAATCTGTGTAGCCTTTTAACTTAAGAACAAAGTACACTCCAAAGTTAAAGAGAATCAACACTACAGCATTTTCCTTCATGCTCTACATTGGGTCCTAACTTTCTGCCAACTCAAAGGAGCAACACAGTTTGTGGTTTCATGAAAAGTAGGCATGATTTTATTTTTATTGTATAGGTAATCTTTTTGAATTTTAACAAATCACATTTTATTTAATCTGTGTTCACTTTGTAAATCAATATTACATTTTTAAGGCTCATACATTTTATTTAGCTATTGTTAATTTTGTTAATCCACATTTTTAAAAAAATTTTAATTGAATTTTTGTGTATTTCATACAAATCGTCTCAAACAATCTTAATCGTCTTTATACCACTTTCCTCTCTGGAACCCTCCCATAGCCCCTCCCTGCCGCCACTGGAATTCAGAGTCTGAAGAACGCTAGTCCTTAGACAGGACTCCTATATTACACTCCACCCACCCAGGGCTCAGGGACCATTGTAGAAGAAGGGGGCAGAAAGATTGTAAGAGCCAGGGAGGAAGTTCATACCCATATTGAAGTAGAGTCCTACAAGCTCGTGGGACCTTGCTCATTTGAGCCTACAGCAATGATGTCAGCATGCACAGGACCCATGCAAACTCTAGCAGACAAAAACCCAGCATAGAACTGTGGAAATGGACAGCAGACCCCAACTTTAGCTGAAGAAATATTGGAACTGATTACTGGTAGGTGAGGAAGAGCTGATCTCCCTAAAGCGAGGGACTATAGATAGGCTGACTAGACCTCAGTAGATGAACTTGTAGTGAGGAGCATCTGTTGGCACTAACTTGACACAATAGGCCTTAGCTACCATTAAGTTTTCAATTTGTGAGATATTGCATTGTGTAAAGCTAGGCATGTGCTTATTATCATGTTAAGGCTATTTGTATTGTTTGACACTCATTTTGAATGTCACTTCATGAACAT